GATAGTGGAGGGAATTTCCTGCAGAGAAAACAGCATGCCAGCAGCAACGGATTGCTAATGATTACCCAGGACTTACGATATGTCGGGTTCTGTTCTACAGAATTAGCTCATTTATTCTTCATAACTCTAAGAAGTCAGCACTACTTCTGTTCCAGTTCCACAGCTGAAGGGGGTCTGAAGGGGGTTCCACAGCTGCTGAAGGGGATCGCTCTGACCTCAGAGCCAAGGCTGTTAACCCCTATGCTGTCCCACAGTGACACAGAGCCATGAGGAAGTGCCTCATCTACAGACCTGGGATGAGCGTAGGTAAGTGTCTGGGTGAGGCAGCAGCAGGTGGTGAGGTCAGGTATGTGGGTAGGGGCAAGATGGTGAAGGAATGTGAGTGAATGCAGAACTAGAGGTAAATAGTTAGGTTCATCCCCCAGGGACTGGGGAGCCAAAACAAGCTTTCAGGCCTGTCAGTGGCTTGATCAGCACTGCACTTGAGCACAATACCATGAGAGGGATATGGAAGATGGGCCAGATTGGGCGGAGGCTAAAGAAACGGAGCCTACTTCAAAAGACAGAGCAGGGGTGCCTGGGTGCCTCAGTGGGTTAAGCCTCTGCCTTCGGCTCAGGTCGTGATCTCAGGGTCCTGGGATCGAGCCCCGCATCGGGCTCTCTGCTTGGCGGGGAGCCTGCTTCCTCCTCTCTATCCCTCTCTCTGCCTGCCTCTCTGCTTACTTGTGGTCCCTGTCTGTCAAATAAATAAATAAAATCTTTAAAAACAAAACAAAACAAACACTAGGCCCTGAACGAGACAGAGAGAAAGAATGGGGAGTAACAGGTAGATCTGAGAGATTCTTCTAGATATAATTGATGCAAGATGGTGAAGAATGAGGTCTGGGGCAGTGGGAAGAAAAGGAAATGAGAAGACGCCAAGTTCATAACTTGGTATCACCAGTCGCCAAATTTCTCATCCATCTGAGTAAATGTTACATGGGATGGGTGACTGGGAGGGAAGAAAGTGGTGGTTTAGTCATGCACCTGTCGTGTTATTGTCTAACTGCTTCGTGCTCGTAGGTCTGGCAAAACCGTGATCTTCGCTAAGGCAGAAATGACTCATAAGTATCCTGTGTCTACATATCCACTCAGTGATCCCTTTAGCGCCAGATACAAAGGCAACTGAATACAATTCAGCAAATACTGGTAAATACTAAAAGCGCACCAGATACTGTGCCCAAGGCAGACCTGCCGAATAAAGGTATAAATCCTAAAAGAAACTAGAAACAAGTTTTTATCACATGAAAAATTTTAAGACTCTCTAATGTACAGAAGAAGAAAAACAAATGACTAACATGAATGTAAAAGTTTTCCTTCACTAGTAATCAAATAAATACAAATGAGATACCTTTCTTGTCTATCAAAATTTCCGAGACCTTTAAAAACACTCCTTGGAAAAAGACTAGTCCTTCCCTTAATTGTTCACAACAGCACAGCCCCCCAGAAGGGCTGCCTGACCTGGAGCATGGCAAGAAAGGAACCTAAGACTTGGACTTGTGTTTACTAAACTATAACTAGCCTATGCTTTCTAACGTGCAGTTATTCTCACTTAACCCCTAGAATAACTCGCTGAGGAATGCATGATTATCCCCATTTCAGAAACCAGAGCAGTGAAATCAAGAAACTTGCTTGTGGTTACACAATTAGTAAGTGGTGTGGCCATAATTAAAACCCACATAGTTCTAGCTTCAAAGCCCAGGCGATGTGGAGTGAATACGTATTTCACAATTTAATGATTATTGAGGTACTAATCATCATTGTTAGGAGAGCCAGCTCGTGCAGGGGCAGAATGGGCCTTCCCCATACACAATACCTTGAGGGGACCGTTCTGTGTGCCGCATAGGACCATCCCTGGCTGCCACGGCATAGGCTTCTCCTCTTAGCTACTCAGAGATCCCCACTTTTAGGGTCACTACTGTGTAGGCCATAAGGATATTTTAATCAAACTCTACCTCAGTTTTCTCATATATAAAAATGGATAATAAAATGGACCTCCAAAATCTGTCAAGAAATTAGTTTTCACCCACAGAGTAAAGTTAACATTGCCTCAAAAGTTATCTTTCAAAAAAAAAGCTCCACGATAGTACCTTTGAGGCAGTGTTCAAAACCTAGCTCCAATGCATGACGTGGAAAGCCTGTCTTGAGGAGTCAGTAGGAGGGTTCACCGCTCTCCCGCTCTGCGTAGCATGCCTTCCACAGATCTATGTTACTCTTCACGTTGTAACATAAACGTTCACTTACTTTTCCATCCCCTTTCCAACACCGTAAACAACTTGAGAACCAAGTCAATGGTTCATACACCCTGTGATGCCAACACCAAGCCACCGGATGGCATGCGGCAGAAAATGTTTAGTAGAAAAAAAGAAGCCCATCATTTCACCTTCATAAAACCCTATCAGATAATTATCATAAACATCTGCATTCTAAAATAAGCAAGATGCAGTGACTGCCTAACATCATGTACAGGAGGTCAGACTTGCACTGGATCCGGGTCTCAGGACTCTCCACTCCACCATGGATGGACTTCCAACAACCAGAAGGGGAAAAAGCCTACCATAGGCCATTGAGACCAACACTGCACAAAGGTACGTTGTTTCTCAAATGTGGTAAGGATTCTGAATGGTATCAGGACATCTTAGAAAGTGGTCACCTGAGAAAGTACAGAGAACAGCATGAAAGTGTAAGAAAGCCTGGAAAATCTGGGTCTAAACCAAGCTCACTTTGAACTTCACCCTATTGCCTTGGGCAAATCTCTTAAACTGAGGAGCCTTGGTTTCCTCGTCTATAAAATGTGTTTTTTTTAAGATTTTATTCATTTACTTGACAGAGAGAGAGAGATCACAAGTAAGCAAAGAGGCAGGTGGAGAGAAAAAGAGGAGGAAGCAGGCTCCCTGCTGAGCAGAGAGCCCAATGCAGGGCTCGATCCTAGGACCCTGGGACCATGAGCTGAGCCGAAGGCAGAGGCTCAACCCACTGAGCCACCCAGGCGCCCCTAAAATGGGGTTTTAAGCAATGTTACTTACCTTGTAGCGTTCCATGTAAGAATGAGAGTTACAGTATATGAAAGAAGCCGAAGACATATCACAGATTCATTAATCTGTAGTTATCATTACATGTCAGAAAAAAGTGGCACATACCAATGCCTATGCCACAGCGTGGTTTTCCTCCCCTATCTTACTTTGTTCCCATAACAACCCTGGGGAGTAGGTGCTATTACTTTGATCTTATATTGAGGAAACTCTGACTCAGAAACATATAAGTAACTTGTCCAAGGCCACACAGGTGGCAACAGGCAGAACCTGCAAACAGACCAGGGTCTTTCTGAATCCAAACCTCTTTGAAGTTTATCTGTCTGCATCCCAGATGGGTTTCAGTGGAGGAAAGATAAGGAGGATTCAGATGTGCCCCCAAATGTATGAGGTCAATGTGAGGTGCTTGAAAAGAAAGCCTGGATCAGATTTATGTGTAGCTTGGGGTATTAGTTAAAAATGTTTGGAACATGTGCAAGATAAGGCAGGGAGAAACCAAAAGAAGATGGCCAATGATAAACGCCATGCTCCTCAATTTCCCTTTCAGCTAATAATATAATAAATAGTAAAGAATGACTCATACTCTTATTTCAGTCCTTGTGCTGAGTCTCCAAGTTCAAAATCCCATATTGTAATACCAACGTATTACGTATTTCCTCTTGATCTTGCTACCATTTGTTATGTCCCAGAAAATGTTCCAAAACCAAAGAGAGGAAGTTCAGAAAAGTCACAGGAAATATCTGACCTCCTTTACTCTAAGGGAAAAAAAAAGAACAAGAAAACCTTTCCTAGGTTAGTCTCTTATTTGTATCATTAACACCAAGGCATGGTATAAGATGACAAGATAACACAGAAGGTAACTAGTTTAACAGTAGATGGTTTCAAATCATCGTACAGAGAAACAAATAGTATTTCACAATAAACAACAACAAAACTCTTTTTGTGGTGTTTTCCTCTATCACACACAGCTCCCCCAACCTTGGAACAAACAGGCCTTTACACTCTCCAGTCAAGGCCCAGGAAACCTTCAGGCTGTGAATGTTTAAGATTCAGGCAGTCAGGAGTCAGGTTAGGCATGAGGAGAGACAGGCGTGAGAAAAATGAAAACAAAAAACAAGTAAAACACCTCTCCCTGTGGAATGGAAAGTTATCAAGTGAAGCACTGAACCCACGTCCTCCCACCTGACACCACAAAGCTATAAACCCAGGACGACACTTGGTCTGGGCTCAGAACCCAGACTTGGGGAAAGAAAACTCAACAAAGAAGGGGTGGTTCAGCGGGTTCTGATATGTAGTGAAATCATTGGGTCTGTTCAAATTTATGAGCTTAAGGAAGGGTCAGAAATTCTCTACTAATAAAAACATCCTTCTGTGAACTTTTCCGAAGTAAAGTTAATGGCACACAAAGCCAAGCAGTTCACACAGAAAACTCATTCCTAAGGGACTACCTGTAAACTCAGAAGTTTGTCTTCACGAGATCAAATGTTCAACAGAACGCCCCTCTGCTCACTCTCACCCCCATTCAAAGTGCTATATCCTTTACCACCAGTCACCCATGCCCAGACTCTTCTCCATTCTCCTTGGCCCCTGAAAGGCCTCAGGCAACAGAGCCTCGGGACCCGCGGGAGCACCCCTCCCCTCCCTGCCATCCCCATTATTCGGCAAAGAGCCCTGCTCTCCCCTGGAGCCAACAGTCTGCAGCTCCTTCAATGCAGGCGCGAGCAGGCAGGAATGGTGGGAAGAGAAGCCGTGCCAGCTGCATGTTTCAGAAGCTCCCTCCATATGCATTTGCCAAAGGAACAAAAAGAAAATCAATGCCAGGAAAAGACAACTGAGATGAGGATGCGGTGGGACCGCGGCTGACTCCTTGCCTCTTAGCAGCAAGGGACCGGCCATCCACGCGTTCGAGCCACAGACCCCAGTCGTTACCTTCAGGATGCAGGCCATGGCGCTCCGCCGGCCCTTCTGCCACCGAGCAGCGGGCGTGCCTGGGTCAGGGGCAGTCCGGGCGACAGGCTGGAGGCTGGTACCGCGGCAGGACCGCTCCAGCCCACATTCCCGCAGATCCAAATAAGGGGACCGCGGTGCGAGCTGCGCGGGCACAGGCCCCGCCCCCCGCGCCGCGGCCCCGCCCCAGGGCCCGTCCACTGGCTGGCGGCCCCCGAGACCCCGCCCACGGATTACGTGCCGTCCTGGTCTCCCGCGGCAGCCCCTCGTTGCTTGCTACTTTTTCTTTTCTCTCTCTCTCTTTTTCTCCACCCCCCTCAGTAAACGTTCTGTGGTTCAACGTATGCAAAGCCGGCTCAGCAGCAGGCAGGGATCTGGGTCCTGCTGGGGAGAGAAAGCGCCCTTTTCTTCTCGATTCGGTCTCCTCCAGCAGATCAGAGAACCCCTTGCAGATATTTCACAGTTTTTAAAAAGTTAAGGGGGTTTGGAATCACCCTTCTACAGGCTTTGGGCGCATCAAAGGATTCTTCAAAAGTAGCAGATGAAATTCCCCCCGGGCTGTTTAACGATAGAGCTTTCCCTCTGCTTAAAAATGCTGTGATGGGCTCATCTAAAATGAATAATTTGCCACTAATAAGGGAGCACAAATACCTATCAACAAAAGACGCCAGAAAACTTAGGCTGTATGTTTTGTGTGAATGTACACAGACATATATTAATATATTATTAATACATATATTAATTGCTTTAGGCTGTATGTTTTGTGTGAATGTACACAGACATATATTAATTGCTTTTTTGATTTGAGCTTGTGCATTTATTTTTTTAAAAAGTGTATTTACATATACAGTAAATAGAATGTATATATTTATATGAAAATTAAATGTATTCTCATATATATACATTGATTATATACGTATATAAATTGGGTTTGTGCCCACAAGCACAGGACTTTGTTCTCCCAGCCCCCAAGTTTAGAATTTGAATGAACTTTGTTGCAACTTAAGTAAAAATGTTAATTCTGAAGTCTCCTGTAAGGCAAGTCTCTGATGATAAAACAAAAGGTGATAGAGCAGCTTTTAAAGGCAGACAGCCTGGGAGAAGATATGTTTTGGGTCTCCTTAGCAGTCCTTTTGGAGTGAAAATCAACAAGGAAAGCCCAATTCCCAAGCAAGGAACTGGCTAAGAGAAACAGTTATTTCTCTGAGGAAAGTGACATCACACACATAGCAGAAGAAGGGAGAGAGAGCATTCTGTATATATACACAGATTTCCACCACTTGGTCTGTCAGAGAAATCTTAAAACCAGGCCCAAAATATTTACCCAAAAGAGCTTTCACTTGCTAGAAGCCCTGTCTGGTCTGCCTACATAGAGTCAGGAAAAGCACTGTGGGCTGCTGGTGGCTGTGACGTCATGAGATTGGCTCACAAACCACAAGGCAGAAACCAGACTTTCAAGGGATTTGGTGTTTTCTTGGTGAGAACATTCAGAATCCTGAGCGAGCAGGAGGCACCACAGGAAAAGTGTTGCAAACACTGAGAGTGGACAGACTACCTGCTCCCAGGGAAAGTCCCTCTTTTCAGTCTTCCTAAGGGACACTCCCTGCTCTCCTACTCCTTCCTCCAGACCCTCCGTGTGGTTCAGAGATCTGCTCTATTTTCAGTAAAAACTCTTTGATCAGTAAGTTCAGTAAGAGCTTCCTCTATTTGGTTGATCAGGACTGTATATTTTTTTTAGAACTGTATATTTTAAAACACTGCTTTAGCTCATGATCTTTAGTAAGCCAGGAAAACTCAGTATTTTATTCATTTATGAATTCGACAAACCTTTTCTGAGCTGTTACTAGAAGATAAATCTTTTTGAGCTACCACTAACTGGAGGGGAGTTAATAACAAAAACAAAAACAAAAAACTTAGTGAGGCTGTACAGGACCCATCAGGAATGAATGATTTTCAGGGTCTCTAACATCATCTCAGATTCAGTCAAGTGGGAGAGATAAGAGATACATGATATTATAACATGGTAAGGTCTTTAACCAAAGTAGAAGCAAAGCTCTAAGGAAATAGAGACAGAACCCGGCAGGTTGGCAGGTAAGAGGGGCAAGGGTGGGCAGGGCACATCATTCTCTCTCCAGAGAGTCTGCAGGTCTGAGCAACAGCCCAGCTGACTCTAGTAAGCAAAATTGCTGAGCATTTCCTTACTGGGTGACCTTGTTCACATTTCTTAACCTCTCTTTAACCTTTAGTTTACATAGTAGTATTTATCCTTGTGAGAATTAAATGAGATGATGCTCGTAAGTCCACTCACTATGAACATTCTCAAAATGGTAGCTCTTTATCAGAGGGTGGGGGGGTGGGAGGGGGTTGGTTAACTACAAATAGCTTGTAGGAAAGGATGAATAAGATGATTCTGAATGTCTCAGAAAGATAAACATTGATGAGGCAAAAACTTAGCATCTTGTGACTTGGGTATAGCCAACTGAGGGTATAATAAGGGCTTTGCCAGTTCCAACAGTCTGGGTATGGCTCTCTCAAACTCTCCACTCATCCATACCCACACTCTCCCAAATGTTATTTTTTATTAGCATCCACAGTTATGCCTAAGTACAGACAGGAGTAAAGGCATGTTTATAACAATCTAAAAACAAACTCAGTAGATTCCACAATAAATCTGCACTGAAGTTTTATAAATCTGGGCAGAAGCTTTATAAAACAGCAACGGTCACTGCCTCAGATGGACCGCAACTGGATGGGAAAAAGTAGTTGGTTGGAAATGAAAACAGATTCAGAACCTACTAGGAAATGAAGGTACAGCCAGATTTGTGGGAAGATGGGGGGAAGGGTATGGCCAGGATCTTTTTTTTTTATATATAACTTGCCAGACTATAAGAATAGCTGAGTCTATCCCATGGATATAGCCCAATTTTCCAAGTCCCTAGTTATAGGACTTAAACCAAAAACCTACTTCCAAAGATAACAAACTGGGTGCACCTTGCAATTATGTACAATAACCCATGTGATCCTTACAACATCGATATGGATGTTGTCATCCCCAGCTGGTCAGTGGGAGAACAGGGATCTGAACTCAGGTAATTTGACTTCTGGGTCTGCCATCTTAACTGCTGCACTCAGTTGCCCAGTATGTCAGGAGCCAATCTTTGGTCACCATTCAGATTTAGTCTCTTGCCTTAAGTTTAGTAGTCAGAAAACCTAGGGTAAGTATATATTTCCCTAAGATACACACTAGGATATGAAACCTAGAGCAATTATGTAAATAAGTAGAAGATAGATACTCTCTATCTGACTGTACCTATCCAGGATAGGTACACTCACCTTGTATCTATCCTCCCTCAGCACCTGGGGCCTTTAACAAAGACACTGTCCATCCCATCCAGATCTCCCACACAACCAAGCTGTTACCACCTTCTGCCCATGAGAGCTACCTCCCACCAAAGACTCTCACTACCGTATCTTACCTACAAAATGGAACCTGCCATGTAGCAACCTGACTGCCCTTGCTTCCCTTCCTGGAAAGATCTTTGGGGGCTGGTCTTATCGCTACCTGGGTCTCCCTAGGGCCCTTCTTGGCTCCAATTGGTCCATCTTCCCTCTCCTCACAGGCCTTTCACCAATAAGATCAATATGCCTTAAGGCCAAGACCTCATGAGTTATGACCAGTCATGGGCTAAAATGTCCTATTTAAATTCAGTTTTGCTTCATTGTAAACAGCCCCATTACCAAGTAATTCTCAGAGTTACACAGTTTCCTGATAGAAATAGAATTAAAATGAAGAATCCCATAACTTTTCCAATTTCATCTTGCACACATATTAATTTAATATATTTATATTCAACACAGAGTCATTTATTAAAACTTTAATTGGATCTCAATTTTTCCCATCTAAAGATTTTAAATGAATTCCAGATATCATAAAACTCTTCTTGTCATCCACTACATAAACTATGCTTCCATAGGAGACTGTGACTGGAAGATCCATTATACAATGTTATGGGAAAGTCATTTTTTTTTTTTAACATTCTGAGCCAGAATAGGAAATGATTTTTTTTTTTTTTTTCCTAGAAACCATTGCACTGTTACAGGGCAATGACCTAGGAACTTTTTCATACCCTAAAACACATGCCTATCCTGTCAGTGTCCTTGTGCATGTCTATATGGATGTCTGTGTCCAAGTATGTCTATGAATGTGCCCTTTTAGATATACATGAGAATATATTGACATGTGGGTTAAGCTTTATTTCCCTCCATTTTGGATAGCAGATCATTCTAAAATGTCATCCGTTTTGCATTCCCAAGACTTGGGCTTACTGCTTTTTCAAAACTTGACACAGTTCTAATACAGAATTCATCATTATCCCTGACTATACTCATACTCATCTGGGATGAACTCCAAAACAAGTTAAGCATGCTTTAGAATTGCATTTTTCAAACACTATATATTTTCTCCTTCTCCCTTAATGTTCTTTCTCAACTTCCTCTCAGTTCTACTCTTCTTATTGGTAGTTCTCATCTTTTCTCAATTTTTTTTTCAAATGAACCAAAAAGGGGGAAAAAATCTGTTTTTAATTAAGAGAGAAATCTGAAATTAATGTTCTTTAATGTTCTAGGTTTTAACCAGATTTGTTTTTCTTAAACAATTCTCCCCTAAGATCTTTTAAAAATATAATCAATTGAAAGTAAATATGGCTGGAAGCACTGGCAGGTAGTTGGAATTTGGTTCGTATTGGCTTTCTCTAAGGCCATTGACGGCTCCATTATTAATTGAATCTGATAAATCTCAACCACGTTTCTTAGAGTTTGTTTTCCTTTTATTGTGAGGCTCTTCTCATGTGTGTTTCTGTACACTCTTCTTAGATTTCACCACTTAGTGAGGTTTGATGACATACTGTCTTAACATATTAGAGTGTAAATCTAGTATTTGAAATGTATCCATGGTGGATCTGATGGGAAGATCCACAGGACGGGGTCTCACAGTTGGCCTCCTTCTGCAGTTTATTTTGCCTGAGCCAATTTTTCTCTAATGATTTGGCTCTCACAAGCCCTCTGGAAAGAGCTAGGATTTTTTTTTTTCTAATTTCTTAT